GGCCACCACCGAGAAGGCCCTCTCCCTCATCCCCACCAATCGCGCCTGTGAAGGAGGTGGGAGCACGAGCAGGGCCTCTCCAGATGATTGAAGAGGTCGTGTGGGTTCGTACACAGAAATGTGGTCACTGTGCGTTGTTGGGTGAGTAAGTTTAAAGAGGTTAATCTTTTAACTTTACTTGCCTAGTGACGCAGAGTACTCACATCAACACATTCACCATAAACAGCTTGCATTCTCTGATTAATCTCCTTTGGGTTAGCACCTTCTGCTATCAAAAATTCAATGTTCAGCAGTGGAACTCTCTGCCGCAGAGTGTGGTGGAGGCTACTTCTTTGGAGGCTTTGAAGCAGAGACTGGATGGCCATCTGCTGGGAGGGCTTTGAATGTGATTGTCCTCCTTCTTGGCAGAATGGGGTTGGACTGGATGGCCCACCAGGTCTTTTCGAACTTTAGGATTCTATGATTCTATGATCAAAAGGTAAAAAATAAGTCACACTTTAAAAATGCACCTGTTCCGACTTATTTGCCTCATTTGTATCCCGTCCTTCTCACCCCGAAGGGGACTCAGGGCGGCTTACAACAAAGGCACGATTCGATGCCTTGAATACATATAAAAATAAAACAACATATAATTTAAATCACATAATTAAAAACACATCAAGTAAACAATTACATAAAGTCACACAATTTTAGGTAATTGTGTGATTTTTCCCAATGTGGAGAAAATCCCAAAATGTGTGGAATTGTCAGTGACATGGGCTGCACAGCAAGGCCGAAGGAAAACAATCAATCACAGCCACCTTTAGGCTATAAACAACTTTATTTACAACTATAAACATCAGAAGCTACTTAAGCACATTGTAAAACTGCTTCCTTTCTGTCCGGTAGCTACATCGTGAACACACAGAACACACTGTTATCAGTACTAGTCCACACCTCCTGCACTCCAGAGTGATGTATGATGTACGTTGCTGCATCCATTGCTCTATACACTTTGAATTATGACCTCTCTAGGAATGCCATTCCCTCCATAGTACAGTTAACTCTTTCCACGCAGGAATACTCTCGGGACATAGCATTGCATTTTAAACATATATACATACCGTATATACTCGAGTATAAGCCGACCCGAATATAAGCCGAGGCACCTAATTTTACCACAAAAAACTGGGGAAAATGGATTGACTCGAGTATAAGCCGAGGGTGGGAAATGCAGCAGCTACTGGTAAATTGCAAAAAAAAAAAAGATACGAATTAAGTTACATTAATTGAGGAATCAGTAGATTATATATTTTTGAATATTTAAGATAAGCCTGTCCAACTCTGATTAAATGATGATTTACCTTCTTCAGTGTAAATGTGCTTACGTATCCTTCCAGTTCAGTCTTACAGTTGGAAGCTCAGCTACAGGATGTGAAAGTTTTCTACCTGTAGAGAAGCTTCGTTTCTTACAAAGTCCAGGGGGAAACAGTCCCAAAAGCTCTGGCTGGAGAACTTAACAGCCTCACAGCTTTAAGAACAGTCTCTAAAGAAAGGCTTTAAAGAGAAACAGCTTTACAGCACAACCCCTGTTGGGGTTGGAGAAACGGAAAATCCTAAGGATTCCAGCTGGAAATTCTTCAGAGCCTTGGCTGGTAGGTCTACTCAAGTACCTTTCTTCATCCCTCTCCTTTCTTCCCCTCTTTCCTTCCTTCTCCTTCCTTCCTTCCTCGCTCCCTCCCTTCCTCCCTCCCTCCCTTCCTGTCCCTCCTTCTTCTTTTTCCTTCCTTCCCTTCTTCCCTCCCTCCCTCCCTTTTTCCTTCCTTCCTGTCCCTCCTTCCTTCTTCCTTTCCTTCTTTTCCTCCCTCCCTCCCTCCCTTTTCTCCTTCTTTCCCTTTCATTTTCTTCCCCTTCATTTCCTTCCCTCCCTCCTTTCTTTATCCCCCTTCTTTCTTTCCCTCCTTCCTTCCTTCTCCTTCCTCCCTCCCTTCCTGTGTCTCCTTTTTTTCCTACCTTCCCTTCTTTCCCTCTCTCTCCCTCCCTTCCCTTTCTTCCTTCCTTCCTGTCCCTTCTTCCTTTCCTTCTTTTCCTTCCTCCCTCCCTCCCTTTTCTCCTTCTTTCCCTTTCATTTTCTTCCCCTTCATTTCCTTCCCTCCCTCCTTTCTTTCCCTCCTTCCTTCCTTCCCCTTCCTCCCTCCCTTCCTATGTTTCCTTTTTTTCCTACCTTCCCTTCTTTCCCTCCCTCCCTCCCTTTTTCCTTCCTTCCTGTCCCTCTTCCTTCTTCTTCCTTCTTTTCCTTCTCCTCCCTCCCTCCCTTTCTCCTTCTTCCCTCCTTCCTTCCTTCCCCTTCCTCCCTCCCTTCCTATGTTTCCTTTTTTTTCTACCTTCCCTTCTTTCCCTCCTCCCTCCCTTTTTCCTTCCTTCCTGTCCCTCCTCCTTCTTTCCTTTCCTTCTTTCCTTCCTCCCTTCCCTCCCTCCCTTTTCTCCTTCTTCCCTTTCTTTTCTTCCTCCTTCTTTCCTTCCCTCCCTCCTTTCTTTCTCTCCTTTCCCCCCCCCCCTCCCCTTCCTTCCCCTTCCCTCCCTTCCTGTCTCTTTTTTTCCTCTTCCCTTCTTTCCCTCCCTCCCTTTTTCCTTCCTTCCTGTCCCTCCTTCCTTCTTCCTTTCCTTCTTTTCTTTCCTCTCTCCCTCCCTCCCTTTCCTCCTTCTTTCCTTCATTTCCTTCCCTTCATTCCTTCCCTCCCTCCTTTCTTCATCCCCCTCTTTCTTCCCTCCTTCCTTCCTTCTCCTTCCTCCCTCCCTTCCTTGTCCTCCTTTTTTCTCTTCCCTTCTTTCCCTCCCTCCCTCCCTTTTTCCTTCCTTCCTGTCCTCCTTCCTTCTTCCTTTCCTTCTTTTTCTCCCCCCCCTTTCCTCCTTCTTTCCCTTTCTCCTTTCCTTCCCCTTCTTTCTTCCCCTCCTCCTTCCTTCCTTCCTTCCTTCCTCCTTTCCTTCCTCCTCCCTCCCTCCTTCCCTCCTCCTTCCCTCTCCCTTCCTCTCCTCCTTCTTTCTTTTCTTCCTTTCTGTCCCTCCATCCTTCTTCATTTCCTTCTTTCTAAAATATAAATACAATATTAAATGGAAGGGACAGTCAAGAAGTAACGAGAGAAGGAGGAAAAAAGGGAAGGAAGGAGAGAAGCAGGGAGGGAAAGAAGGAAAGAAAGAAAGATAGAGAAGCAAGGAAGGAGAGAAGGAAATAAAAAATGAAAGGAAAAAGAGAGGGAAGGAAGGAGAGAAGGAACAAAAAATAGGGAGGGAAGGAAGTATGTAACCAAAGAGTAAAGAAAGGGAGGAAAGAAACAGGTAGAGATGGAAGAAAGATGAGAGATAGGGAAAGAAAAAGGGGAAAGGAAGGAAAAAGGGAAGGAAGGAGAGAAAGAGGGAGGGGAGGTTGGCCACAGCAATGCGTGGTGGGTATAGCTAGTTTAAAATATAAATGAAGTATTTGTTTGATTTGTTGAGGATCTTAAGATTGTTTGTTGAAGACCTAAGCAATAATAAAGAACGTTGTTAAACTTTTAAGCTTCTAAAGACTTTGTATAGGAAAACCCATAGGGCCTCTCATCCGAGGCACCCCGGCTTCCAACTGGGCACAAAGAGCACGCCCTGTTCAAAAGCCAATTGCTATATGCCCAGCGCGCGACAGCACAGCATCCATTGAACTGTCTGGGATGTATCCGTTTGTTTGCCTCCTTGTTCTAGGGCTTGATTGCCGAGGAAAGCAAAGGATCTTTGATAAAAGAGGAGGACCCGGAGAGATTCCGCGAGGCGCACATGAAATTCGAGAAGAGTTTTGGGCTGGCCGAGCAGGAGAAGCTGGTGACCTACTACTCCTGCAGCTATTGGAGAGGCCGGGTGCCCTGCCAGGGCTGGCTCTACCTGAGCACCAACTTCCTCAGCTTTTACTCCTTCCTCCTGGGAGCCGAGAGTAAGTGTGGTCCCTGAAAATAGTTACTTTTCAACATAGTACTAGGGGTAATTAATTACATCAAGAGGGCTTGTAACTGTAACAAATTCCTTCTAAAAGTCCTAACCCTGTGAGACAACGATGTGGGAACAATGTGAGGATGCTTTTTGCAGACTATAGTTTTGCATTCAACACAATCCTCCCACATATGAAAATAGTTACTTTTCAACATAGTACTAGAGGTAATTAATTACATCAAGGTGGCTTGTAACAGTAACAAATTACTTCTAAAACTTCTAAAACCCTAACCCTGTGAGACAACGATGTGGGAACGATGTGAGGAAGCTTTTTGCAGACTAAAGTTCCGCGTTCAACACAATCCTCCCACATATGAAAATAGTTACTTTTCAACATAGTACTAGGGGTAATTAATTACATCAAGGTGGCTTGTAACAGTAACAAATTACTTCTAAAACTTCTAAAACCCTAACCCTGTGAGACAACGATGTGGGAACGATGTGAGGATGCTTTTTGCAGACTATAGTTCTGCGTTCAACACAATCCTCCCACACAGAGGATCTTGGATTGTCATATTCACTCTGTTCCTGGATTGAGGACTTCTTGCCTGGACATTCCCAGAGGGTCCTAAAATAAACAACAGAGCATCCAACAACAAACAGGACACAGGAAAACTAACAAAATGAAGTTCAACAGTGACAAATGCAAGATACTCCACTTTGGCAGAAAAAATGAAATGCA